AAAACACATATGTATAAACCGGCGCAAAAGTTTCCAGTGGCAGCTCAGCCTGAGTGTGCGGAGTTATCGCTAACGCCCACGGCCATGACTGCAGTCTTGAAAGGCACGGGCGCGTGGAGGGTCTGGAGCCGAACTGTGTGGACAGCAAGCCTGAGCTTCTCCCATTCAGCTGGGCCCAAATGATTTTTAAAAACTGGCCCGGAGAGCCTGGTTTGTGCATCCAAGGCTGTTCCTTTGTCTGAATACCAGAAAATAGTCGTGCACTGCTGAAAGAGCTGCTCCTTCCCAGGATGTGCTGTAACCCACATACACACACACCCCCACATACACACGCTGTAACCCACGTACACAAAAACACGGTTGTGTTTATGGGTCAATTCCCATCTCAGCGCAGTGACCACATGGCGAAGGCAGACAGCCCTCTGTCCTTGCCCCCCCCGAGGGGTGCCCCTGGGAGACATGCTGCCCTTACCTGCAGAGTTGAAGTTAAAAACAATGCATGGGTTCGTGCGGCTTTGTCTGAGGGGCCTTAAAGAGAGCACAGCCTAAGGGCCTGTCACAGGAATTACTGGCTGATGTAAGGGAGCACGGCCAAGGGCCGCCGCCACCACGGCAGGCGCCCTCGCCCCCCCCCCAGCCGCAGGCCCCCCCCCTCGGCCAAGCCGCTGGCTGCAGCGACTCCTTCAGCAGTGCATGGCCCTGTGGTCCTTCCCCACGCTCAGAGCTGGAAGTCACGAAACAGCCTTTGCTGTCCTCAGCGTTCATCTCAAGAAATCGTTTGACGTCACTTCTTATGCCCTGCAAGCTGATTCCGCAAAGCAGTTAAGGATGCGGACGTCTGCTGTGCTGACTCCGTGCCTAAACCAATACTAAAGACAGTGCTGTACACGAGAATATGAAAATATGAATATTTTTTTAACTCTTTCCATCTTTACATATAGCAGTCACCTACACTCCTCGTGCATTGTTGAGTGTCCGTGATGACAATTGAAGTGCATGAGGAAAACAAGACTGCTGTGCTATAAAAATGCCAACTTCTGCTGCTGCTGATCTAATGGACAAAACCTCCACTCCTCACAACGCGACGTACTAAGGAGCTGGCATAGCCACCAACAGTGCTTTTTGCACATTTCCTACATCAGTTTTCCCCAGAATTTTCTGTTCCGAGTCCTATTTCATATATGGTTTTAGTTTCAACGTTTCAGCCTTACCAAGTTTGTAATGGAAATGGTTTTACAACTAAAGTTGGTGTCTTTTAAGGTACTTCACGTATGTTATACAATTGCAACAAAACCCCCCACAACCCCTCCCTTTCGCTCCACTGCTCTTCGGTTCTGTGAACTGCCAGTATTCGTCTGGGGATGCGTGTTTCAGCCGGTCGTAGTTTGTTCTGGCTGAATGAAGAGGTATCACGAAACCCAACTACACGGCTTTCTGGTCATTTCTTTCCTGTAGCTGAGCTCAGCCTGGTTCCATGAGCATCTCCCGTGCGCGATCACAGGGTCTGTGAGCGTCCCGTCCTCACCTCCGCCACAAGCTGCAGGTTGCTTCACTTTGCCAGGGACTCCAGCTCCGAGGACATTCCCCAGCACCAAGCGACCACAGAAGATGCAGGCTGTGCCCTGCTGCTTCAGGGACCGGCAAATGTAACCCCAGGGGGGCGAAGTCACCCCAACCAACAGCCCTCCGCTTCCCCCGCTGGCAGAACGGGTGGTGACTGGTTTTGGGGGGGGAGAGGTACCACTGAAACCCAGCTGATGGCTCCTCTCCCTGCCACAGAAACAAGGCTTCAAACTCCAAACTCCTCCTGGCCTGGTTTCACTCCTACTTGCAATGCATGCCCAAAAGCGCGCGCCTCTGTGCTTGCTCTCGCTAGTGCTCTCGCCCTCTTCTTTCAATCTTTTCTCCTTCTTTCACTGCACACTAACAACCCAGTCCGGAGCGAGAGGACGACACTAAGAAATTGGTGGGTATACATAATGACTTGTTTGAAGCAGACATCGGTGTCAGCCTTACAGTGCAGCGGTTATAATCAACTGGAAGTAAAACTATTTAGAATAGGTTTTGGGGAAAAAACCATTCAATTTTTTTCCCCAAGACTTTTTTTTTTTTTTTCAGGAATTGTGACATTTTGAGATAATTTCATGAAAGCTCCTCATTTTGTATATTACATCAGCTCAACAATTTGATATAACTGTACATAATGAAAGGAAATTGCAGGCTATGAAATTTTCTTCAGACCTTTTAACATTGTTCAGATTTTTTTTGCCCAGCACAGGTTCTCTAATGGCAGAAGAACTGAATATCATGTCAGCAACTGACTATTAGTTCCAGGCAGAAAGGTTTGCATGGGCATTTGTGACAACCTGGCAATGAAATAATGGTTAGAGTTGGCTGACTTGTACAGAGAGAGAAACTTAAATGAGCTCCATCTGAAAGTAATTGCTTTCAAAATACAAAATCATGATGGCAGAGGGAGAGAGGAGAGGGTGAGGGGCAGGGTGGGTCCGTCGTTTACCTCAGGGTACAGCACCGCTGTGAGCGCTGTACCTGTGCAGTTGGTACCTGGCGCCCAGGCCCAGCTCCACGGAGGCAGCCCCATGAGAGGCGTGGGGTGACAGGCTGCAGAAGGTGCCGGGTCTGGAAGCGCTGCCAGATCCGTGCCACCTTGCAGGCTGGAGCCCGGGCACTGCCGCTTGGGACTGAGGCCGGGTCACGTCCGTATGGAGCTGGCGTACCCCGACCCAGATGTGAGCACACCGTGCGGATGGAAACTACGGTATCGCTGCTGGAAAGGGACCAACTGTCAACTTTGACTTTCTTAAACCGTGTTGCTTGCTAACTTTGCAAGCTTAACCGCATCACAGTTAATTTATTAGTTTAGTTTAATGTCCTGGAAATAAACCATGCTTCTTTCGCCACCACGGCTGGTTTGCTGTGGGGACTGTCATTCTCTGAGCGTAAGAATGCAGAGCAACTCATTTCATAAATCCCCCGGCCAGAAGATGGGGAATACGCAACCACCAGTGGTGACAAGTGCAGAAAAGGTGGGGGAACACCCACAGGCTAATCATCATCTCATTTTCTGTAGGTAAGCATTACAGAAATTGGCTAACTCCTGGGTGATTTTTCACTGCAGCCAAACACAAAAATTCAGAGCTGTTCAACCAGATCCTTTACAGTCACACTGAGTTCCTGTCAACGCGTGCTTCCCCTCTCCAGCACCACCGTAACTCCCAGTTTAGAAAACCAGTTCCAGGGTGGGGAAATATTTCAGTATTTCAAACTAGCAATAAGCACTAGTTGCTTCAACTTCGTATTCTTCCTCCAGGAAGTTACAGTCAGTTGCCAAGGAAAGGATCTGTGCCACCACACACAGGCTCCACGTCTGAGTTTGTTGACACCTGCTCGGAAAGCCAGAGAGCGGTTACGCTGCTCCCGACGCCGCTGTGCTAGCGTGCAGTGAGTCGATTCACACAGGAGCGGAAGGGTCAGCACTGCCGGGACACAGGGCTGGCCACCCCCCACCGGACGCACCGAGAGTCCCTGCAGACGCTGGCAAGGTTCTAACAACAGCACTCGGACGGCACAACCGAGCAGCAGCAGCAACGCTGACTGCGCACACAGCTTCTCTAGCCATTGCCCAAGTGTCGGTTTCATTTTAAAGATGAAGCTTATAAAAATGCACAGTTCTTTCCCAAGATACTGTACACTATTCAGCAGGTTAAAAATTGAAAAAATCTTTCATTAAAAAAGTCATTACATTATTTGCATACATCAGGGATAGTCTACATAATTATGTCCATCTAGAAAATATGTGCATTATAAACCATTTCCATGCAACGCAACAATTTCTTATTTCAAAGGTGGTACAAAAAGGCCACACAGCAGTCCTAACCCCTAGAACACTATACATAAAACAAAATAAATGTGCATCCTTTTCTTGAACGTGTTAGATGAATAAAATGCAACACCAGGGAGTCGAGAAGATGTAGGTTCTTTTTGTTTCCACCAAGTGACTACAGTACCAGAATATACACCTAACGTGAAGTGTGTGTAGAAATCACTGAAGCATCTCTCCTACAAGGAGAGGCTGAGGGAGCTGGGCTTGTTCAGCCTGAAGAAGAGAAGGCTGCGAGGGGACCTAATATATACTTCAAAATATCTCAAGGGTGAGTGTCAGGAGGATGGGGCCAGACTCTTCTCAGGGGTGCCCAGTGATAGGACAAGGGGCAATGGGCACAAACTGAAGCAGAGGAAGTTCCATCTGAACATGAGGAAGAACTTCTTCCCTCTGAGGGTGATGGAGCACTGGAACAGGCTGCCCAGGGAGGGTGTGGAGTCTCCTTCTCTGGAGATATTCAAGACCCACTTGGACAAGGTCCTGTGCAGCCTGCTGTAGGTGACCCTGCTTCGGCAGGAGGGTTGGACTAGGTGAACCACAGAGGTCCCTTCCAACCCCAACCATTCTGCGATTCTGTGATTCAATGGCTTGTTTGTCATGCTGAGACAGACTGCTGTGTTTAAGATTACTGTGATGTAGTTTCTGCATCTAATAACTCAGTATTCAATCACCTTGCAAGCTTAAGAGCACTGTACCTATAAAATAGTGTATCTATTGTGGCAAAGTATAAAGTGTGTTGCTTACAGTTTAAAAATCTATAGAAAAAGCTTGTTTTCCGTACAAAAATGCTGAAATTTTGTCAAGATATAAATTCTGAGATGTTATATTTACTACATTCCCTGTGAAAGGGAAAGGAGGCTACAAATGTGAGGCTGCTTTCTAAACTGGTGGAGGCCCATTGGTGTACCGCAGCGCGAGATGCAAAGAGCAGGCTAAGTTGTTTGCCTGGGTGCAGCTGTGTTCCTCCTCAGCATATGAAATCATGCCAGTCAGAAGAAGCAGCAGTAGAAAGAACAACTGCAGAGGTAAAGCTGCTTGCAGTACACGGTAAAAGGAGGGAGACCAAGAAATGGCTTGAGTAGGTTGTGGATGGCTTTCACCTCTGAAAAGGAGAAAAAAAAAAAAAAAAGGGAAAAAAAAAGGCACTTTAGAGTTTGAATTAAACCAGTTGTTTTAACTCCCTCTCTAGGTTCCCACTGCCCCTCCACGATGCAGGGCTGCATATCTACAGGAAAATGCACTGCACGTGACACACGTTAACTGTAACTTGAAAGCATGCAAGAGTGCTCAGTGGGAAGCCAGCTGCTGCTTGGGTTACTGTCCTTACCGCTGAAGAAGAAACATTTCTCTGTAATTGCTTAGATCAGTACGATTTTAACCTATTTTCAGATGTAAACTTAAGTTTTCCCAACAGCTCAACAAACCATTCTAAACGCATGTTGAAGTACAAAGTAAAGCCACCATTCAGACTGATCGGGCTCTTCTCTGCAAATATTCCCTTACTCAGCACAAAAAATATTTTCTCAAGAGTAAAGACAAGCCAAGGCTGCACATCGGTGCAGAGGTCTAGAAGCGGGAGTGCTAGAGGAAACCATCCTCCAAGGTGCAGCCCGGAGCTGGTGGGTAGGGGCAGACGCTACAGGGAGGGAGAAATCGCCTTTCTGCTGACACTCAGCTCGCCTCTGCTCTTTGCACTGTCCTTCAAGAGATCAGGTGAATATAAAATAATACCTTGTGCTGCTGCTGTTTCTGTCATCTGCAGCTCTCCTTATCTGTTGAGAGAAACAGCTTTTAGTGCCCAGGTTTCAGAAACTAGAAGGAATTTCTCTTTCTCAGAAAAGACAGCTGTAGACTTTAAAGTCCTGTTGTAAATTTTGTAATAAGGTACATGCATCTAAAAGGTGAAATGATTACATCTGAGGAACTTCTGGGCTAAGTATGTCAAAATATGCTATATGCTGAAAAAAATACTTGCCTTCTCCACAGCAGGGCTGGATTTCTCTGCGACTGGATTGTAGACTCCTGAGTCCAAGTCATCTGCAACTAGCGGGAATGTTCTGGTATCCTAAAAGGTAACCACACCTTCCTCTTTAAAATGCATGTTCAAAACTCACAACAGACCAAGTGCAAAGAGCCATCTTTCCTTGCCTCTCTGTAGGTGCACAGCCAGCGGTAAACAATGCTCCAGTTCTCCAGCAAAAAGAAATGTTTCACTACGCACAACCCGCAGGAATTATGATGGAACAGGTGCGTACAGGCATTAATTTGAAAATATGTCTATCTGATACAGAGACAGAGAGGTCTCAGGACAAGCAAGGTATTGCTATGAACTACAACTCCTATGTGTTCATGACACGCTCCGAGCCTGAGACTTGGTACGGATCATACGATAATTCAGTTTGGAAGGGGCCTCAGGAAGTTCACCTAGTCCACCCTCCTGCTCAAAGCAAGGTCAGCTACGAGACCAGACCAAAAGCCTTACTCAAAGCTTTATCCTGTCTGCTCTTCAGACCCCCCAAGGCTGGAGACTGCACAACCTCTCCGAGCAATGTGTTTCAACACTGCACTAGCCTCGTGGTGCTGAAGCTTTGCCTACAGCCAGACTTAATTGTTCTTTTTTCAGCTTATGAAGGTGGAAGTACTTCAGTTTTAAGTCAGTCTTTTATAAATGCCTTTACTCTGAATATGCTATCACTTTTCAGTAAGAAAGATCCATGAACAAGTATTTAAACTCTGACTCACCAGATTTCTTTGTATTGTTTTTATGTCTTGTGAAACTTGTTCAGTAAGCCTTTTCAGTTTCCATCCGATTACGTAGACCTTCTCGTCAGCTTCAATGTAATCACCATGTGATTTCAGTAGCAGGTACACAGTGAGTTCTTGCAGTGAGTTGACTTTGGACTGTTTTTCCAGCAGCTCTTTCTCCAGTTGCTTAGAACAAACAAATAAGAAACAGTGCAGCAGACTGTTACTCTCAACTTTAAAGATGTTCTCATAAAAGGAGGAACTCTAGAAGGCTTTAAAGAACAACTCAACCTGCCTGAGAATCCGCAATACATACGAATGACTACTACAGCTATACATGAAGTTCTCAAGAGCCTGGTTGTACCTGCTTGAGCTAACGTTTAGAAATAGCTCTAGCAGTAATTAATCCATATGGAACAGGCATTAAATCTTGGAAATTGGCAGTCTTACTCCAGCATAAAGACTGTTCATAAATTATGATGTGTAATTACGGGAAAAAAAACTGCCTCACATAGGCAATCTCTTAGTCCATTTCAGAAACCAGTCACATGCCTGAATACAGCAGGTTCAAGGACAGGCTGCAGACACCTTGAGAAATAAAAATACTGCTCTCCATTTTGTGGCGAGAGCTGCTGACTCACCGGAAGAGCCAAGGTGCTGTAGTTAGGACTACACTTACCATTAGCTCCTTTTGGCATTTCAGTATTGTATCGAGGTCAGCACTTGGATCTGTGATTTGTGCTTCATTCCTTCGGCTATCGGCACTTGCTAACCACAGAATTAGTTTTTGGCTCTGATCATGGAAGTCCTAGAGAAACAAGATTTGCACATGAAAGAAAAAACACTTTTACAGTGCTTTCACCTGGCTTTGCCTACATACAAAACAACCAGCCCAGAATAGACGGAGCCAACAACAAATCCACAATTAGTAAGGCTACAGCAACCTAGTTAAACTATTCCACCTATGTAATAAAAAGGCATCATCCGGTTTAAAGGTATTTTTACCAAACCCTTTAAAGATAACAGAGTCCAGTTCATAAGAAAATTAAGTGTCTTGGATCTGAAGCAACCGTTCCACTGATGTGCAGGAATTACCCCTCTGCCCTCTCCCCTTATCGACCCCCCAGTAGCACCCTAAAGAGGAATTTTCCCTTATAAGCTGGCACTTGGTATGTACCTGGCAATGCAGCAGGGCATGTTGTAAGCCTTTCCTCCAGCTGTTCAATGCACGAGTTGCTTTCTCCCAATGCAAGTTCACCTTCTGAAGCCTGTTCTGAAGCTCTTTGAACTCTGTGGTATCTGCTTTCTGGAATTCTTTGCTGTTCAGGTTAATGGAAAGCACCGCTGCCTTGTAGTTATCGAATGCTTTAAGCATGTCCTGGTAGAAGAAGAGCATTAGGACCGTCCATGAATGATGAAAAATATGGTGTTTATTTACATGAAAAAAACGCCCTCAAAAGAATCATAGGTATTGGGGAAAGTTGTCTGAATCTGGTGGCTTTTCAGATACTGCTAAGGAAGATACTAAGGTAGGTGGCCTTTTTTGTTCTCTTTTTTTTTTTTTTTTTTTT